GTGTTTTTTTTGACAAGTATGGATTATATATGCTAGTGATTTTGTTTGTGAATGTACATGCTTCCAATGTCTTGTTGGCTTGTTGACATGTTTTATATTCTGTGCCTGTGCACATTTGTGAATAATCTGAAACGCAAATGTATATGTATGTATGTATGTATGTATTACATATTTCAAAATTCATAGTACCTGAAAAACCAGGTCCATTTGATTGAAATTCATCAAATATCAGCGAAGTCTGTACTTTCGGATCTGATAACCGGATCTTATACTTTAAATGGCCTGGATCTCCATCTGTTGGCAAACCTTCAAAAATAACTGCATATATGTCCCGGTGCGTATCATTCAATGATTCATAGTAGTTAATTAACTCATCTTCACTCTCAAATCCAAGAGAACCTGAAACACAAATAATGGCACCAAGATCTACACATAACATAAATTTCACCTAAGGTTAACAATTTGTTACCCAATATTCATGGCCCATGTGTTATAGTTTCACTAGCACTATTCACCAACAAACTGAAAAAGGCAAAAGCTTATATTGACATGGGCAGATAAATATGAAAAATCGATTGTCTTCCTTTCTAATTCCATTCAGGGCCCTATTATCTCATATATGTGAAACACATGAAAGATGAAAAAGAAATAATGGGCATGAAAGAGCCAAACGATATTATGTTCTATACAGAATGAGTGTGAATAAAACAAATATCAGTAGAAAAACTTTAGCTAGAAAGGAAAGGCCATTCACTGGAATATCACTTAAATTAAGGCCATGCTAAATCATTAGTACCAATGCAGTGCTATGGAAATTCAATGGAATGAACATGTGTTCAATATTTGACACAAATATTCGTATTTGAAGAGTATATGGCTTGAATCTCAGTTTCCCCTTAAACTGGGACTTCATTGCCTTCTTTCACATCCTTATCTACACATCACTCTTGTCATCTCATTTGATGCTACATGTCTGCAGTTGAAACAGATCCATTAAATAATCTACGTAAAAATGAATCATGAATCCAGCAATCCTACTGATAATTTCAGGGATCATGAGGAGGAGGGGTTTACACTGGTGTGTACAGTCACTTTCATTCAATAATGTTGTCAGTCGACCTGGGTTTATCTATTAAGCTTATGTTTAGCAGCATGTACCAGGAATTTATGTCCATCACTGTCATGTTATAACAGGCAAAACAAAACACTATTCAATGACTGTAAACACATTTCATTAAAAGTTAAAAAGTGTGTATCATAACACAACCCAGACCTACTCACCTTGTTTCTTCAACCGAGACGAAACAACAGTCATCATTCTTTTAGTAAAATTATTGTGTGGTGCATACAGCAGTAATGATGTGTCTGATAAACTGGTCATGCTCTGTTCAATAATTGTGTCTTCAGTCCAAATGTCATAATATTGCATTGGATGTAATACATCATCAGATGGACCAATTTCTGATCGAACTACAGCAACAACAATGAAAAGCAAAACTGGAATCACTATTTCAATTGAAGTCAAAATCCAGTGCCTTCTGCGAATTATAAGGTTTTTCCACAGGACAAGCCAAAGTTTCTTCAGCAGCCCCATTTTCTTCTTACTGATGGTGAAGACTGAAACTGGTTATCTTGACTGGTGCCTTAAGACAGAGAAAAAAGGTGCAGCTGTATAAATACATCTTCATCAGTGTGTGATGGTTGAATTTTTAGAACCATGTGAAATTTGGTTTTATTAGGTTCACATCTGTCAATGAAACCCCCATTAGGCAACAGGTTAGGAAGACCACCAGCCTACTTGCCATCACATAACATACAATAGAATATTCTGTCCCTTTTATTATATATAACAAGTGAAAAAGCCCATGAAATTCAAGAGGAATAATTTCTTTGACTTCTTCATCCTTCATCCCCTTTCTTCCTTCCATTAACCTCTTTCATACTTCAATCTCATTCCTTTCTTTTTCATTAAAACATCAAATTAAGTTACACTTTTAACTCTGGTGGCACAGGTACACCTGTGTAACATACACAGTTTGATAACACACACACACATATATATTCATAAGTTCTCCTATGGTATTATATAAAGGTAAAGCTATCGCTGTAACAGGCTGTGGAGGCCCATAGGATTGTGGGATGTCAAGGACCCCACATTTTCTAGACAATAGGCTCACGGATGGCAATAACGTCATCAGCCTTATGCACTTGCCACTCTTTACCCCCAGGAACATTCCTGGTACTCATTTCTGTTAGAGCCTGAGTCGACCTCAGGGCCATAGTGCAGCTGGAAGAATTAGGTCAACTGAAAAATTCAATGACATCGGGAATTGAACCTGTTACTTTCCAGTTTGTAACAAAGTGCCCCCTTATATTATATAACATAAATAAATATATCATTTATTGTCTGATATCTATGGCTAGATGAAAAGAAAGAGAAAGAGAGAACATCAATGAAAATGTCAATGGTTTTTCCACTCATCAGCCTTGATATTTCGCTCACTACAAAAAGATGAGTGGGATTCTTGAACCCTGTATACACTTAATTATCATGGGAATGCATCCACAGATTGTGTCGATCTTGTATCAGTGTGCTTGCTCATGCAACTCTCTATATATGCATCCAAGGGGTCCAACTTCTATCTACAACCTATGACTGAAACACAGCATAGTAGTTAGACTGCAAACATTACTTGTAGGTCACATTAAGTTTTCTCAAGGACCAAATGTAGATTTATTTCAATACATTCAGGAACAGGAGCCATCATAAATGATAAGTATCATGTTAGGTTAGGTTCTTAACATTCATCTTGGTACAAATCATAACAGGTCTCTTCTACCTTATTTGTCCTTGTCCCTTTAAGCATCTCAGCTTTAAGTACATACATCGAGTTACCATCATGGTAGGCTATGTTTGAATTGGGGTTATTTTGTGTGGTTCTAGAAACTGGCACTATTATTCAGTAAAAGAACAACGTGCCATTTTGCAACACAACTGGAAGAAGGGTGCCAAATAAATACAGGGAAGAGAAACATGAAAGGATGCTGAACCTACTGCTTCAATTTTCCCCAAATTATACTCACAGTTACTAGATCTGGTCCTCTATATAATATGCTTGCAAGGCCTACATTTACTATGGAAGTGAAAGCTGGCCCCTCATAAGGACAGATGAAAACATGCTCTGAATCTCTGAAAGGATATTAAGAATTTATGACCCAATTAAAGAAAATGGTATATGGAGACCAAGGTATAACCATGAGCTTTATGAACTATATAATGTACCACATATAGTGAAAGTGATCAAAGTAGGATGGTTGGGACATCTTTTTGGAATGCAGGAGTAAAACCCTTTGAGGAAGTTTTAAGTTTACATAAACCAGAGGGTACTTGATAAGTAGGCAGACCTGTTATCAGGTGGCTGGATTCAGCTGAAGAAGACTGCAGACAATGAACATTACAAATTGGAGATGAAAGTTAAAACGACAGGGACCAATAGAAAGGAATCATAAAAGAAAACCAAGGATCATAATGGACTGTAGTGTCCTTAGAAGAGGTTACTAGATGTGGTGTAAATTGAAAAGTAAATCCATGATGACATATGGAGAAGTGAACCCTAGATGGAACTGAGTGATGAGCTTCACATTCCACTTACTTCACCCACAGCAGAAAGAACACCTGACAAATCCAGAAATGAAACTGGGTGGCCCCCAGTTGGTTTGGACATGGTGGACAAATGAAAAACCCTTGCTCAAGCCAGGGTTATCCAGTCTACATCTGTCACTAGGTGACTGCCAGATTAGTCTAATGTATCTGACACTAAGCCCATGAACCTATAACTGAAATTTCAGAGCCATTAAAAGTTACTACCTTTAACAGACTTTGATAAAAGCTCATGGGTCCAATCACACTCTTCCACACAACTGGCTTCTCCTATGTTAGCTCAAACTGCCTCTTCCCTCCACACCTGCCACTTCCTATAATCATTAGTTGGAATATAAACACATGGCTGAAGTATAAAACGAGGGGCACCATTTCCAGCCATGGTAACTGAGTATCAATTGAGGTATATAAAGGTTATATTGTGGTTATGTTGTTACAGTTCATATAAGCAAATATTCTAACTTCAGACTTTTCCACCTTTCATCTGTCCTTTCCAGCATCTCAATTTTCAGCACAGCACATCTGTAATCACGGTAGATGTCATGATGGATCTGAATCAATGATTTTCAGTGAACTTACTTACTCATGGAGCTGTGAGACCTTCTTGAGGAGCCGCCAATGACTATACTAATATTTATTCCCAGTAATCTTTTTAGGTGATGTTAAAAATGTACAAATATTTACAAATGGGGGTTGTTGCATTAAGTGAATGGTGTGATGAAATGGGAGACCTGCTACCATTTCTACAATACTTTACTTATGAATACAATTGGTAACATAGTAATATACTAAAGATGCAAAAGCGGTTACTGTTTTGCATCAGAAACTATGTTACAAATACGGCACTCACGAATTAGTCAGAGCATTTCTTAATTGTGCATAACCTAATTCTGAATTGCGATTATAGGCGTAAATGCTTTATACTGTGCCAAATCTAAATCACTAAAGAACTGATCATAAACTACAAGAACAAGAACGATAATTTTTATATAATTAATTCAAAACGTACGTTGAATTCACACTTTTACACACCTCTGTAACATCTGTTTACTCTGTCTTTCTATATATATCCAGTTTATATTAAAAGAAGAATAGATTTCGGCAGTCACGGCATTACTTCCTCGATATATGGAAGAAACTACACAACTTTTAAAAAAATGAAGCTCTACTTCACTATACGCATTAACATTTCCCAACCATTCAAATTTCTCCGAATTCCTAACAAGCACAGTAATTTCCGTACCCCCTTACTTTGTTAGCTACCTACACAGTTGTCATATAACTATCTTTAACATGTGTCAGCACACTTACTGCTGACTACTGACATCTTTCGTCAAACTACCAAATCAGATGACTGCGAAGGCTGCATAAGGCGAAAGATTAAATGATACACGAAGAAGCTGGTAGATGGTGATGTAGAAGGTCAAAGCCTGGAGTTTTCAAATAAACTTATTTTAGAACAAGTTATTAATTTATTATTGTAGCAGGTATACTGAACAGTCATTTCACATAGCATCATCATGCAGACGAAAGTCATCACATAGTGTATAAATACTCTGTTTTGCGCTCGGGATTGTGATTTCTTCATCTTTGCAACTTTCGTAAATTTCAGACACATTTCATATTACATTCTGTGCCACCAGAGAAACACGGTAACTGGGATAAAATAAAACGAATAAAATTCGACAATTCATTTCTTACAATAGGTAAAAGTTCGCGTCACACCTCTCACCTTGTGACGGCACACCGGTTGCGGAACACTGGACTAAGTAATAGTCCAACTTGTGAGAGGTGTCAAGAAGAAAATGAGACAGCCACTCATATCCTGTGCTAATGTGAGGCCTTAGCTTATTTAAGATTAGGGCACTTGGGTCAATATGTTATGGAACCAAGTGACTATTTCGACGTCCCTACGTACAAAATCCTGCACTTCATTTGAAGCGCAGGATTGTTGAGGGGATAATAAAAAGGGGAGGCACAATAGATCACTGTGGTCGCGGTACAAGGACCAAGAGGGCCCACCCCTTGTACATTCATTCATTAAACTTTGATCCTGGGTGCACTGTAGAGTTATCGAAATAAAAACGCAAGTTACAGCACAACGTAGAATTAATAATAAAATCGTTTACGACTGTAGACTTTCATGTGGATACTTACCTGAGGATGATCTGTTAGAGGTCTTAGTGAATAGGCAGGTGGTTTTAGTTGATATACTGAACACTTAAAACTCGTAACCACAAATAATTATAATGCTCTCTCTAATCTCCACACTTTACAAATCACTACAGCACACGCAAATTCTCAGTCTGTTAAAATCTTCACTACGCAACGGTGACAACGAATACACGAAAATTGTTGAGTTTCCACAGCGACAAATGGAATACCAAAAGACCGTTGCGTAGGAATAGCCGTGGCAACGAATTGTTGAAATAGCGATAATATTTTTTTTTTCTTGGCACTACAGCCCCAGTGGGCCTAGGCCTACCTCCATGAACTTCTCCGTTCACTTCGGAGCGATAATAATACTACTGTACATTTCCGAGGTAACGAGCGTAACGAGGTAACACGTAAAATCGAACCCTGGGAGAAGGTGCTCTCTACTCCGTCCGGAACCAGGTTATAAAAGTACAGATTTGAAAGACCCGGCCTCCCGCCAGAGAGGGCGCCCACAAAAAAACCTGACCGTAACTGTCACCAGTAATAAGGATCTGGTCGCAAGCTCCAGATGGGTGCTTCATTCCAAGACAGACTGGCCGACTGACCGTCGGTCGTAAAATGAGACTCAGACTCAGACTCAGACTCAGACTCTCAATGTTGAGGCGGGTTCGAATACCTCCACCATGACCCTGCGAGTCCTAGGAGGCGACGAAAAGGGAAGTCTCAAATTTGAGAGAGTAATATATGGTCTCGAGTACCAAGGGTCTGAGACCCGAGAAAGACTGCGCTGGCATGGACCAATAGCATATACAAAAGACAGACCCGTCCTCTCCTCTGAGAGGGCGCCCACAAAAAACAAGACGGTAACTGTCACCAGCAATAAATATCTGGTCGCAAGCCCCGGATGGGTGCTTTACGCCAAGACTAGCCGACTGACCGTCGGTCGTAAAATGAGACTCGGACTCAGACTCCCAATGTGACTTGGACTTGGACTCTCAAATCTGTGACTGTAAAATATGGTCATGAGACCCAAGGGACTCAGACCCGAGAAAGACTGCGCTGGCAAAGGCCAGCAGCATATACAAAAGACAGACCCGTCCTCGTCTGAGAGGGCGCCCACAAAAAACAAGACCGTAACTGTCAAACAGCATAAATATCTGGTCATGAGACCAAGATGGGGCTTGACACCAAGACTTGCTGACCGACTGACCGTCAGTCGCAATATGACTTTGACTTTGACACTGCTTTAGACAGATATTCTGTTATTGCGTGCGTATCCGTCGCCGCCTGTGCTGCTGCCTAGCAATGGCCGCTTCTACAAATTCCGGCTTTCAATTCGTCACGTCACAATATATTGTTTCAGGCTTGTGTAGATAGTTTTGAGAATAAAGCTTTGTAACGATAAGTCAGTCTCGGATATTAAAGTTGGTTAATACAAATTGTTGCCGGTCACGGTAGCCGAGCGGTCTAAGGCATGCACTGTCTTCGCTCGCTCGGAAGCCGGGATCGTGGGTTTGAATCCCACTCAGGGCATGGATGTTTGTGTGCATTTTTCTGTGTTTGTCTACGGGTAGAGGCCTTGCGACGAGCTGATCACCCGCCCAAGGAGTCCTACCGAATGTTTAAGATCTAGTAAACCGAAGTGAAACGGAGAGTTTCATGGAGGTAGGCCTAGGCCAAAATTGGGGATGTAGCGCCACAGAAAAAAAAAATACAAATTGTTACTGAACATATTTTCCTTTAAAAAAGAATGATTCAATTTCAATAATACATCACTACTACTAAATCTAGTTCAAGGGAAAATGTTAGAAGTACTTACATTACAGGATTCATATACAATGGAAATGCAAGAACTTGTAGATTGTTTAATTTCTGACCTCTCAATTTAAAGCGAAACATACATTTCGTGGAATTTATCATACAATTTTACTTTTAATAACGTAAAATTACGATCAAGTAACAAATATAACGATGTATGTCATTTATTTATCCTGGAACTGCAGAGACTTATTTCAAGGCTAACACAGTGGTGTAGTGGAGCCGATATGGCCAAACCGGTAGGTCTACACACAAATTTCAGACATGAAGACGGTGCCCTGGATCAGACATTACAAAGCAAGTGCACTGCTCCAGGTGGCTTCAATAGCTGTTTTCCTATTCTGGAAGGCAGACTAACAAAAATTCTGCAGTTTAGCATGCTAACTGGTGGTTAATATTTTAAAAGCACGCCCCTCTCATTGTCCACGTTTCTTACAGCTTGCTGATCGTACTCTGGAGTTTCCAAAGCCTCTGTACTTCTGGGTCCTTGCTTTCCATACCAGACAGAAACGTTACGTCTGAAATGTTAAAAATGGTATCAACAAAATGCATTAATACCACGTGATATACATTATTTCATTATTCATTTGCCTACACGTTGTCACAATAGTCGTCGTCGTCATTGTCATCGTCATCAGTGCTCGCCTGTTATAAGTGAGCACTAGCACTAGCTGTAGGTAAGCACTCAGATAAAGCAACTGAATTGAATTGTGCCTTTGAATTTCGTTCTCCACATAAAAAAATAATGTTACACGGTAAGGACCTATTTAATTCAATAGTTAACTAAATAAATAAATTCAACTAATTAAATAATTAAAACAGTTACTAACAAACCAACCCGGGATAGCGTAGTCGGTATAGCAACTGGCTACGGGCTGGACGACCGAAGGGTCGGACTTCGAGTCCCGGCAGGGTCAAGACTTTTCTCTTTTCCACGTCGTATTAACCGGCTCTGGAGTTCACCCAACCTCCCATCCAAAGGGTACCGGCGGTAAAGCGGCCGGGCCGTCAAACTGACCACTCAGCTCTAACTAGTGCCGAGGTAAAAAAATGTGGATCTATACATCCAGTCCCCCATACGCCTTCATGGTGCAGTGCTTAATTAGTTCAGCACAGGGACAACTTTACCTTTACTAACAACCCAATGTTTGAAAACTTATTTTACATAGATTTTTAAAACTGATGTACGACGGTCGTACTGAAAGTCACGAGCAACAATTTTTTGTAAAGTAACATGCTTTATTATTGACAAACCAAATACACCACCTCAATCTACAGACCTTTCTTTATTTTTCCACATAATCGCCACTTCTTTGTGCACATTTCTTGTAGCGTTCTGGGAGTTTGAAAATTCCCCTTCTGTAAAATTCCGTTCCAGCCTTCCGAAGACACTGACGCTCTGCTTTCTGAATTGCCTCCCTTGTCTCAAAACGTTGTCCACGCAGCTGATCCTTCACAAATCCGAAAAGATGGTAGTCGGAGGGTGCCAGATCAGGGCTATAGGAGGGGTGTGGAAGAACTTCCCACCCCATCTTTGCAATTGCTTCCAATGTGACCTTTGTGGTCTTCGGTCAACCGCGGGACCCAAGGAGCACAAACTTTCCTATAGTCCAAGCCTTCAATCCTCTCTCGTACTGCACTATGCCCTATTCCAAGTTTTCGGGCTTTGTGTCCACAGTCACGCGCCTGTCATCTTGAATGATCTCATCCACTCTTTCCTTATTGCGTTCAGTTGAGGCTGTTCGAGGACGACCGCATCGAGGCTCATCTTCGATGCTGGTGTTCCCATCTTTAAAATGTTTCGCCCATCTTCGAACACTGCTTGCACCCATGCACACACTTCCATAAGCACTCTGAATTCAGAAGACAGTGCGTCAGTGTCTTCGGATGGCTGGAACGGAATTTTACAGAAGGGGAATTTTCAAACTCCCAGAACGTTGGAAGAAATGTGTACAAAGTAGTGGCGATTATGTGGAAAAATAAAGAAAGGTCTGTAGAGTGAGGTGGTGTATTTGGTTTGTCAATTATAAAGCATGTTATTTTACAAAAAAAATTGCTGCTCATGACTTCCAGTACGACCCTCGTAATGCCGTTGTTTATTTCTACGTGCGAATCCACGTCCGGTAATGTACATAAAATGAACACAGTGTGGATCTTATGACTGTCAGTATGTCATCTCCGAAACAACTGAAAGGATCTGAAAAACATTTGATATTGGGACTCTACACTAAAAGCTGTAGGCCGAAACTAATTTCCGTTAGTACTGGCCAAATATAAAAACTGCTCCGAAGTTCATCTTTTTTTAACTGAGGTCTGCGTCTAAGGTGGCTCCCACGATGACCACGTGACATGTCATACAGAAAATGATGCCAATATAATGGCAGGAGCACACGTGCCTACGGCACGTGGAAACTACAAAATCAGATTCCATCAACACATCACGTGTTGTTTGGACAATATCCATCGTCGTATTTTTTAAAGTAACTTTTCAGAGACAGAACTGTCTCCGTCCTCAGGCAAAATCCTGCTCAGTAGGCCCAATCGACAGAGCTAGTCCCTGTCTTTCTCTGAACACCAGAACCAACAATAGGCGCGATATATAAATCAAACAGAATATAATCTATGTGCAGGAGTCAAAACAAAAATTTAAAAATACACATACATGATACCTTACACTTATGGCCGCGCATAATATAACGGCCAGAGTCCAAAAAAGGGTGGCTCCAAGCTGGAACACTGAGTCTAATTCTAAAAAGAACAACTATAAATACTACAAATATAAAATCAAATATAGGACGCCGTCTATCGACCTTTAAAAACGTAGATGAGACAAAGATATAATACAGACCAAAGGGTACAGATGATTAAAATTCAAGCAGATAAATTTCTTAAACACCAACGAGGACCTAACAGCAAATAAACCAATACCGGTAAGTATTATGCTATGTAACACAGATACTTATGTAGGAGATAAACATAAAAACGGAATATTCCCATATAATCTAAACTGGAGGCAGCTCTAATTTTTAACAGAAAAATATATTAATGAGGTAAGTAAGGTCTTAAAACTTCGCATTTGGCATGTGCTGAAGTACACGCCCCTACATTTTGTTTTACTAGAAACGCGGGGCAAGTCAGAAGTGGTTACCTAGGTATTTCCGGCCACCTCGGTTTTAAACAAATAGGCTACAGACATTGCCGCTTACCGCCTGAACGCAAGAAGTCATTCAGAGGTTGGGCCAATACACTCGCTGGTACAGCCATGTTGATGCGCGGAAATAGGGCCCCCGTGCTGGTATCCATAATGTTGCAGGAGATGAGGCCCACCAGGTCGCCGGTATACCTGAATAAGGCGCCCCCGCTTGCACCTGACTGGACGCAGCAAGTTGTCTGCAACATGGCCATAGGATTCGACGCGAGGGTCACAATGCCACGTGTCACCGTGGGGCGGACGTTATCATCTTCTGAGAAGAGCGAGAACCCCGCAGCGATCACAGGCTCCCCTGGATGTTTCATCAGAAGATAACGAAAATAAAGTCTTGATTACAATTGTGTTGACAACGCGTGCAACCATTACGCAGGGGTTACCAAGGCGCAAGAACATCAGCAATATTAGAGTTTTCGGTAAGGAAAGTGTTTTTGGAAATTTACACAAGAAACACCACACTCGCTTCATAGCATATTATAACCATCTATAAAATTCTCTTCAAAAGTATCTTTACATGTCTATTACTTTTACTACAGTTATCACTACTGCTGCTACTTACGTCGTCATTACCGTTATTAACCTACTTTCCTTATTTTCGAAAAAATAAAAGTAGCTTTATGCGATTTCCACGCTGTCTGTGAGTGTGTCCCCCCCTTATCAACTGTTGAATGGCTGAACCAATCGAAACTTGATATGTATATCACGGCACGTGAGCCCATCTGTATGGCGTACTTCAGAAATACCTCCCATAAGTCCGTGTCTATATGTATTACCGCAACGTTGCTAGGCAACGGCTCGGTAAAATAGTTACCGAGGCAATGAATACATACGAAATTATAGAAGAATTGTTGGACGTGTCGATTTTCTATGCGGTCCGTGTCGTATCAAGGAACATAAGCGATCTGTTCTTCCCAGGATTTCTTGTATACAGTATAGACATGTACCAAAATACACAGGTCTTGCACCAGCCTATCAATAATTAATTCACATAGGACTTACTGAACTCTTATTGGTATTCCGAAGGGAAATGTACTGAACAGAAAACGGAGTAGGGCCCACTCAATTTTTATTACATCTATTTGCTGGAATTTGCGTTTAAATTAAAACAGTAAGTACATGCACCTCTTAGGGACGCAGAAACTTGAATTTCCATCAAAATGAATGTTTTTATTTTCACTTTATTTTCATTAAAATTCTATCTCTATAATATACACGTATACAATACATAAAGAAATTAAAACAAATTATTATATTATTATTATTATTATTATTATTATTATTATTAGTATATTATCAATATGATCATCTTAATATCGCCACTGGTCTGACTGCATATGCTGGAAAACGCTTCAGGTCCGCAGGACATTGTTTTCCCGTCTTTATGACACGAACATTTAAAATGGAATTATAATATAGAGAGCTGCTGTCCACAGAGAAAAGAACATCAACTTCCCAAGTTCTGTACCACGAGAACTAGTGTGGTATTCTAGCAGGAATGCAATTTTCACACCATCCTAGTGCACTCAGGGTGACATGACGACCAAACTAAATACGTGCTATGGTCACTGAAACGTCAAAATCCTAGACATCATATACCGAGTAACATGGGCAATTTTCGGGTTTTACTCAGTTTTCTAAGGGTGACTGGCATACATCTTAAAGATCCTTGAAATTAAAGTTACACAAACCTTAAGATTTGTAACTTCTATCAACATTCAGCAATTCAATCGTATTATTACGTGTATTATTCGCTTCAGCTGCTAATGTGGATTGTAAGGATACAGAAGTATTTGGAACAAAAATTCTGTTTCTTAAACATGTTTTATAACCTGTATTTTTTATTATTAAGGGCCGCGATAGCGCAGTCGGTATAGCGACTGGCTACAGGTTGGACGACCAAGGGGTCGGAGTTCGAGTCCCGGCAGGGCCAAGGATTTTCTCTTCTCCATCTCGTTCAGACCGGCTCTAGGGCTCACCCAGCCTCCTATAAAATGGGTACCAGGCGGTAAAGCGGCCAGTGCGTGAAGCTGACCACTCACCTCCAGCTAGTGCCGAGGTCAAGAAAACGTGTGTCAACACATCCACTCCACCGTACGTCTTCGTGGCCTAGTGCTTAATTAGTTAAGTGCAGGGACAACTTATCTTTTTACCTTTTACTCTTAATTATTAATTACTAAAATATTCCTTTGCCCAGTATTAATGTATGTTTTGTATATATATCTTCTTATTGCATCATGGCTGTCGAGGTGGCACCAATTAAATCGTTATTGACTAAATGGTACATGTTGGCTGGTTTTTGTCTTTGAGTCTTTGTTTTGTTTGTGATTAGATTAACACTGGCGTTCAGGCTATTTGGCTCTTTAAAACCGAATTATTATTATTATTATTATTATTATTATTATTATTATGGCGAGGTCTAAAAGACGGAATACGGGAACCAGAGTAGACGTTCATTGCCAGGCAACGACTCGGTAAATAGGTTCCCGCCGCAACGAATACGTAGGCAACAATGAAGGGGCTGTTAGAAAACAGCGTTTTCTGTTGGGGCCGCCACCAGGCTATATAACGAGGATCCCAGGCCAGCTGAATAATAATTGATGGAGTCTCTTGAGACGGCATTCGCAGATAATTGAGCAATGACATCAATGAGTTAGTTGAGCTGCAAGAGCGCGGCAGTGCAAAGAAGACTTCATGTGTGCTACAGTTATAGTGAGACTGGTATAATTACTGTGTTGAAATCCGTTACCAGGATACGACTAGTGAAGACTGAGAACCATAGTGTCTGCAGCAGTGAATTGTAAACTTCGGAGATTAGCGGCAGGGCTGCATTACTTGTACTTACGAGTTGAGTGTATAAGTGCAATAAATCCAAACATCCCATCCAAACCCCATCTAACAGTCATACACACCTCCAATACGTGACGTTATTATTGTTATGTAGCTATTGTCTTTATGTTGTGTTTGTCCATAATCTGCACTGTGTTGTGTCTGTAGTTGGCCTTGTAGCTGTTGATGCGGCATATAAATAATAAAATATAATTTAATTATTATACAATCATCATCATCACTTTTATTACTGTTAATTACTGTACCAGATGAACAATATTCCCTGTGGGAATAATTGGTCAGAGCAGCCTGAAAGTTGTGAGAATTTTCACTTCTTGTATTTCGGTGAAAGTATGCTTTTAAATTACAGTGAAAGCAGGTATATTATTGTCAAATTTGTGTTCCAGTTATTTTAATAGCGCTTTATTAATTCTGAAACATCAATAGCTTGTCCATCAGTCAAACATTTCAGCCCTACGAGAGCTAAAATTTCCACATCTCGGTTCTGACTATAGGACTATTGCGACCTCCGTCCACTCTTCAGCTTGCGAGCTTGAGACTGTTTTATGCTTGCATTATGGAGGTTAACTACCTGTTCTCTCGGCATACTTACTAAATATAGCTGATGGCCGTTAATTGCTAACATTCACAGACACCTTGACAGATAAGTATATTTGTCCTCGTTCCTCCTGATTCAGCCGGTTTACAAAGAGAAGTTATCCTCTGCACACTGCTCCATGCGTCATCTTATTTGTACAAGACACAGAACTGCAAGGTGCTTAAAACACACGTTACGACATTCAGATGTTAAATAAAATACTATTTTCCACTGTAAATGTTTATTATTGAACATTAAATTAACTTTTACAGAAGAATGCCGTCTTCTTCGATGTGGCGCCGTGTAGATCTTATGTGAACTGACTTTTCGGAGGAAAGTATCGCCTCCATCTTCAGGGTAGAAAAATCCGCGGGCGAGGAACAAGCGTCAGCAGGTGGCTGCAGTCTGCAACGACCTGTTCACGCTGGTTCCTCCCTCGCGGATTACGCGATACGTTCCTCCGAAACGTCGGTTAACATAAGATCTACACGGCGCCACATCCCAGAAAACGGTATTCTTCATAGTCACCGCCGTGAAAACCTCGGATCTGACATATCTTTTACCGTATTACTTTCGCAAAGTGCATAAAATTAATCAATCCACAAGCTGCATCTTATAAACAACTGAATACATTTCAACGAAAGTGGGTATTGAGGACTCTATACTAAACAACCAAGATATGTTTTATTACAAACAACAAAACATGTTTAGAGTCATATGACTCGTCATAAGACACTACTAACGTGTACATTTCCACGTCGACAGGTCTGGGTCTATATCTGTACAGTACAAAACACTTGTGTTAATATATATATATATATATATATATATTGTGACATGTTGCGAAATCCGAGCCCACCCCCACACCAGCAGGGACGCGGCGGGTGAGTCAGCGCTCCCCTCCCACCCCTCAGCGGTAAC